AAAAAAGTCCAATGGGTTAAGATCGGGACTACGTGGTGGCCATGGAATAGGTCCACCTCGACCAATCCATTTTTGCCGAAAAGCATTATCGAGGAAATCTCGTACATTACGACTAAAATGTGCAGGACAACCGTCGTGCATAAACCACATCTCACGTCGCATAAGTAGCGGAATATCTTCCAGGAGTACTGGCAGATTTTCTTGTAAAAACTGTAAATAAGAAGTTCCATTAAGAGTTCCTGGTAATTCGAAAGGTCCTATTAACGTATTGTTCACAATTCCCGCCCATAGATTCACTCTGAATCGTTGTTGAAAAGAGCCTTGACGAATAACGTGTGGATTTTCGTCCGACCACACATGGGAATTGTGAACATTTAGAACACCATTTCTGGTAAAACAGCATTCATCCGTTACCAGTATACTGTCCGCAAAATCTGCTTCTCTGTTGGTACGATTTAGTAGCCACTCGCAAAATTGCAACCGCAAAGGATAGTCAGCGGGAGTCAGTCCTTGCACTTTTTGAAAATGATAGGGGTGTAAACCGTTACTTTTCAACGTACGCCAAACAAAATTCTGGGATACCTCGAGTTGGTGAGAAATTTGACGAGTACTCGTGCTTCGATCCGCTTCCATAATTTCTTGAATTTCTTCTTCCACATTCACTCCATGTCTGTTTAGTCTACCGCCACCAAGACCTTTCTTAGGAAAAGTGTTTTCAGAAGGGATCTGTCGATTTGGATATCGTTCTAAATACAGATGTCTTGCGTGTGCAGCGTTTTCTCCAGCTGCTCCATAAATAATAAGCATATCTACGTATTCTTCGTTACTGTACAGGGTGTCCAAATTTCGATGGGTTTGCAGGATATCTCAGTTATTATGAAAGATAGAAAGTTGCGGTTTTCGCGAACCTGAGCTACTTTTTTGTGAAACTTATAATGCCGCAAACCAAATTTTCATAGACCTCTTCGTTTTTGATATACAGGGAAGTAAAAAAGTAAAAACGGGTTCTAATAGATTTTTTCACGTAGAATCCAATGATGCACGTAGAATTTTTCTAGACATTACGGTTTTTGAGTTATAAACACAACTTAGGTTTTTTTTAAATGGAACCACCTATATTTTATTTTTTTATTGAACAAGAATTTTTTCAAGCTTTTCAATGATACATAATACTCTATACTTACCTTTATAATTAACCTCGAAATTAAAAAAACCACATTATTTTATAAGTAGGCTATGATAAATTAAGTGATTGCGTTGCTAGGATACCAGAATAAACAAAGAATTTTGAAAATACTATAATATTAATTATTGACTTATTAAAAAAATGTATCTATTAAATTTTGTTTGCTAAAAACGAAAAATTATTAAAAACTAAACATTATGCAAATATGGCTTCAAGTTACAAGAATTGTTCAAAGTTGTTACCATTTTGATGCACACATTGTTCACAAAGTTTAGTAATGCGTTTAATTGCATTTAGAATAGTTATGGGATGTTGCTGTAAATGTGAAAAAGCATCAGTTACAGCAATTTTCAATTCCAATTTTGTTCGATTCTGGGTACTATATACCCGATTCTTGATATATCCCCATAAAAAGAAGTCCAAAATAGATAAATCAGGTGATCTTGCTGGCCATCGCGTTGGACCATGTGTGCCTATCCACCTACCAGGAAATTCTGCAGTTAGGTAGCGACTCACTAACTGCGCATTATGAGCGGGAGCTCCGTCCTGCTGAAAATAAATATTATTTAGCCGAATAAGAGGAATATCATCCAAAATCTCTGGCAAAGCCTCTTGCAAGATGGCCAAATAGCGATTAGCGCAAAGGTTTCCTTCAAATATTTTGTAAACAATTCGTGGCCCAATAATAAAACATGCCACGCTAAAACCAAATTTTCCTTGACGCTCCCGCTCAATTACAATATGTTGGTTTTCTTGATGCCAATGCCTGTTATTATGACGATTATAGATTCCTGTGCTGGTAAAATATGCCTCATCAGACCATATAATAGAGGAACTAAATTCAATATTATTTTGTGCATGGTTCAAATACCAGTTACAGAATTCCAAACGTCGTTCGGCATCTCCCGGGTGTAAGTGGTGAACTATTTGTTCTTTGTAGGGTTTATATTTATACTTTTTTAGAATCGCACAGGCTGTCGATTTTTTAATTCCAACTTGACATTCAATTTCCCTACATGATGTTTTAGGCGCGGCTTCCACACATCCTAACACGGTAATTTCATTGTTATTCCGATTTTCTTTATTATATTTTTTTGGCCTGGGCATCAAAAAACTTCCATAATTGATCAAATTACGCTTTATTCGCAAAAAAATTTTTGAATTTGGTTGCGCTCTTTCTGGATATCTGAAGTGAAACAATCTGCTAATAAAATGTTATTGCTGATAAATGTTGCATTCTACCTATTTATGTATAATTCAGCAGCTTGATTAACATTTTCATTTGCATGAATGTAACATGCTAGCATGTCATATTTTTCATAATTTTCATAGCGCTCCATTTCAAGAAAAAGATAATTAAGTTAAGTTAATTAAAGGTAATTAAGTAACACACGACTTATTGTTAGCACAAAATTCAAAATTAAGTTTGACAGTAATTAACTATATTTACTTTGTTTATTCCGGTATCCTAGCAACGCGATCACTTAATAGACAACCTAAGCCTTGACGTAACAGAGATGGGCGGAGCTTATATCGACTCCAAACATTTTCATAGCTAAGTGTGTTGCTAACGGTAAATCACCATATGCAATTTTTCAATTAGTGTTAAAATAAAATAAACTAAGTGACTTTTTATGACATTTTTATTACGGTTTATCATTAGCAACTGTGGTTAGCAACGAAATTGTTTGGAGTCGATATAAGCTCCGCCCATCTCTGTGACGTCAGGCTAGGCAGTCTATTTATCATTGCCTACTTATAAAATAATGTATTTTATTCAATTTCGAGGTTAATTATAAAGGTAAGTATAGAGTATTATATATCATTGAAAAGCTTGAAAAAAATCCAGTTCAATAAAAAAATAAAATATAGGTGGTTCCATTTAAAAAAACCTAAGTTGTGTTTATAACTCAAAAACCGTGATGACTAGAAAAATTCTACGTGCACCATTGGATTCTCCGTGAAAAAATCTATTAGAACCCGTTTTTACTTTTTTACTAAGTTTCCGGATAGCCGAGATACGGGGGGTGTCTGAAAATCGTAAATTTTGAAATACTCCCTGTATATCAAAAACGAAGAGGTCTATGAAAATTTGGTTTGCGGCATTGTAAGTTTCACAAAAAAGTAGCTCAGGTTCGCGAAAACCGCAACTTTCTATCTTTCATAATAACTGAGATACCCTGCAAACCCATCGAAATTTGGACACCCTGTACATTACCATTGTATTTTTTGATTAGTAAAAATTCGAATTTTGACGTTAAATGACATTGATTATTAAAATTAAATGACATGTCCGTTGCTAGGTAACCAAGTCAACTGGATTGACAGCAATAAAAACATGGTATCAGCGGTTCTCAAAAAACAAACACCAGTTTTTGAGTGATTTAACAAATTTTTAAATAGCCGTAACTGCCATATTACAAAGATTTTATTATTGGTGCTAATCAGGCATTGCTTAAGTAACCCCGAAATATTCGCAGTTTGAATTTAAACGTAGTGTAATACCGTATATCGTAAGAAATGCTGGGCAATTAATTCAACTTTAATGCTCTATATCTTTGTGATTATTACGTTGTAGTCAAAACATTATTAAGAAAATATCTTCAGTTTGGCCCCTAGTACTTGCTCTTTTAATCTGCTCCGTATGTTATAAATCACCCTGTATATAGGTATAGTGTTGTGTATTAAATAGGTAATATTAACTTATATTTTGTCCGTTTTATGGAGATTTTACTGTATTAGAATTTTTTACCGAAAAGGATTCCACTTCATTTGCACCAGATGACTTAGATACATCTTCTTTAGTATTCCCTCGGAAAAAATCGTAAAAAGATAAAAATATATCTTCGTTACGCAGTCAGATACAGAACGAGGGATTGCGCACCCTTCACCCTATATCGATCGTGAGCCCTTCCACAAAAGAATTTGTATTCAAAACAAATGCGAACGAATACGCGTACTAAGAGCTGGGGTGGAATAAAAAATTTAAGATCCCATTTTTTTCTATTTTCCCCTCCTTTCGTATTTTTATAGAAATATTTTCTTAAACGTTTATTTTACTTTGTATTATTAAGGAATTGGAAAAATAATTTGGTTAATACAGCTGAAACTCCTGCGTTAGTAATTAAGATACCGTAACTACACCATAAATTTACTACCACCATAAAAAATGATTGTAAACCCGCGTTTAGATGGCGCCATAACGATTTTACACCCCATTACCTAATAACGGAACGAAAATTTTCCCGCTTAATCCAATTAATGGTTACGATTCTTTCTACTAACTCGATAAAAAAAAAAGAAAAAAATTACTATTAACATTACTAAACTCACCGTTTCTTTCCTTTCATAAACTTTCTGCAACTTATCTTTCAACCAATCCCATTGTTTTATAGCTTCAACATCATCCTCATCTTTTACCATCAAATTCGTGTTAAGAACAATTATGTGTCTCTTGAAATCGGTTTTTTCGATCATGTAGTAACCCCCTAAAACAACAAAAAAGAAATTACAAGACGAAAAAGGGAAATATAAAGGAAATAAAAAGAAAAAAAATAAAAGGATATATATATAGAGAGAGGTTGGTGGAAGTGTGTTTTTATTTTCTTTTTGGCTTAGATCAGCTACGCCGGATGTCGTCGCCTCCCTACGTCTCCAAATTACCTTTTTCAAGGGAGGACGATTCAATCGCTATACAAAACGTTTCGACCGGCGTCGTGCAATTTTCTTTAATTTCCAAACGGCCCTCCTCGGTGCCTTCGACGATCGTTCGGTTAGAATGTTGGGTATCGAAATCTCAACCAAGGGAATCTTTTTAAAAGGCATCAAAAAAAAAAATGATTTGCATTAAATTTCCGTAATTTTTTTTCCGTACAGAAAAACTCATTTAACATTTTTTTCGTTTTATAAAAACCATGTCATGTCATTTTTAATAGGGAAAAAGAGTGTTAATAACCCAGCTTTACAAAAAACGTACGAATAAAAACGATGTCACGTCGAAAATTACAGAAAGGTCATTTCTAGCGGTGTCCTAAAAGAGATGAGGGGGCGGTTTGGTCCAGATTCGGGCACAGAGGGATTAATGCCTCTCGCAAAGTATAACGGACCCCATTGTATCCGGCGTTTTCATCCGAAAAATAAAATAAAAAAAAAGGTAATGCATTTTTCACGTCGCACGGACGTGTCTTTTATTCAACCCGACGCCGCGACGCGCCGGGAAAGCGTCATTTTCCTCGCGTGAGAGATGAGCCTTTCGAGTGAACGTCACGTGACCCGTTACCAAACTCCCCTTCCCTTTACACTTCTCTCTTCGGGGTAATTCCATTAATAAAATTACCTGACGTTCCGTGACGGTGTCTTTTGTAATTGCCACCTCGACATTATATAACCTAAAAAATAAAATAACTTTTCGTACCTGTTTCTAACGTTTCTATGGTATCCGGAGGCAACCATCTACTCCACATTTTCCCTAATTCTTCGCGAGATGATGGATCATCATGACCCAAAGCAGGAAATACAAATTGAGAGTTAAACGTTTGTAACATCAAATCGGTGAGGTTATGTAGAAGATGTAGCTGTTTCGTTTCCGGTATTTGCCTTTTAAGTGATAAACTATCCCTAAAAAAAATTAAAAAAGTATGTTAAAACATATCCGGCTTTAACCTATAAAGAGAGTAATTTTTTAGAGATATGAAGAATTGTAAATAGAAATTAGTAAATCAAAGGTAAATAAAGCGCAGTTTTTACTTACAAACTCTTTGATGATAACTCAAATCAATTATGAGGCAATTTAAAACCACTAGGAACTTTATACGCTTTTTCTTTAAAATTTTTAAATGAAGAAATAAACATAACCTCTACATCCAAATTATGTCAAACATAGCCAAGCCATATATAGTTCGTTTTTTTTCTATAATACTTGTCAATGTAAATTATTTAGGGTTTCTGTTGGTATTATCTCGGACCCTTATAAAATTTATGTTGTTTTCATGATTTTTAGTAACATTGTCAGTACTAATTAGTTGAGGTTAAAATACTAATAAATTTTTAGATAAATACGATTATGACGAAGTACACATTTGTTATAAAAACGTGCTACAAAGTAATTAAATAGAATAAAATACCTTTTCTAGGTAAGTAAATGGCAAATAAACACCCCACAACACTTTTTATGCACCTTTTCTTTTTGAATAACGAAAGCTCAAACGTCAATGTGACATATTTACTTCAAAACATGATAAAACAAAACTCCCTGTTAATTTTGCCAACTTTACAACAATTTGACAGGTATTATAGAAAAAAAAATGAACTATATAGTTGGTGTTAATGTTGTTAGATGGTACTAATGATATAATTTAAATAAAGTCCCTAGATTTACAAAGTACCGCGGTTTGACGCCATTTTGGCTCGAAAGTCAAGCGGGAAATTTAAAACTGTGCCGTTCTATTGATAACATTACGCCCAATTTCCTTTCTTTTTTTCTTGTGGTACTCTGAAGAGTCGAAAGTCCTTCTTACTGCCATTTTTGCAACTTTCTAGGGACTTTAGGATAAATTAAACTCCCTAGATTTACAAAGTACCGCGGTTTGACGCCATTTTGGCTCGAAAGTCAAGCGGGAAATTTAAAACTACAAACCAAAACATTACGCCAAATTTCCTTTCTTTTTTTCTTGTGGTACTCTGAAGAGTCGAAAGTCCTTCTTACTGCCATTTTTGCAACTCCAAAGGCAACAAGACGGCAATATTTTTGTAAATAAGTGGTGAGATACAGTGACAAGCTGTCAAACCGCCATTTTGGCTCGAAAGTCAAGCGGGAAATTTAAAACTGTGTCGTTCTATTGATAACATTACGCCAAATTTCCTTTCTTTTTTTCTTGTGGTACTCTGAAGAGTCGAAAGTCCTTCTTACTGCCATTTTTGCAACTTCAAAGGCAACAAGACGGTAATATTTTTGTAAATAAGTGGTGAGATACAGTGACAAGCTGTCAAACCGCCATTTTGGCTCGAAAACAGGCTTCATGAACCGCGGTACTTTGTAAATCTAGGGACTTTAAATTTAAATTGAATTAATTTTGTGATACGCTTTATATAATTTCCCAGAAAGTATATATGATAATAAATAAATAAAATGATTAATAATTATTACAACAGTCAAAAGTTTATAGAGTCAATTTAGATACATATAATTATGAAGTACTCAGCCTATACATTATTTCATTTGAATTGACTCTAGCTCTCATGATAAACCGTTCAATTAATTATATTATTTAATTTATTGCGCTTTATTGTTACAAAAAGTATGAGTTTTTCACGCAAGTCTTGTGTTAGTAACACCAACCATTTCTGCGACATATGTGCTAAATTTTGTCAAGAAAAGCAACGAAGATAAATGATTTAGTAGAAGTTATAGGGCATGTTTTGGAAAACAACTTGGATAACAAGAGAAATGTTCGAAAAGGGCTTCCGGTTGGAATACCAGTGACCTGAACACAGCCAAGAAACCACCTTGATGATTAGTAGTTTTGTGCTGTAAATATAGAAGTTATGAACCGATACAAAAACCGCTTTTGGGTTTACGCAAACGATCAATCAGCTAAGCAACCAAGCTGCATAGTGAACATTTACTAATACAAGTATTTACTTCCTTATTAGACGATTGATGTGATGATGTTGAAATGTTAAATAATTAGAATAAAAACAATAGCGAATGATTTGCGAATGAAAGTTTTTTTCAGTGAAAGCTAAACGACATGATTCGAGATTTAAATTTATCTAAAAAATCAGGTGAGCTTCTTGCGACATGACTAAAAGAAAACAGTGCCCTCAGCCTCGCGTATTAATAGTATGTTATTGAACTAGAGAGCGCGACATTCTTCTATATTTTAATGACCAAAAAGAGTATACCAACTAAAAAACTAGTAACTTTTCATAGATAGCTCAAAAAAAGTTTGCAATGTCTAGTATTGCATAACGGAAATAAATTAGCTTCAATCCCGATAGCATCTACCATTCAACTACTCTTAAAGAAAAACTTCATCTCATTATCATCGGTGGTCAGTGTGTGTAAATTAAAAAATGTTTTCTTTGTCTGCGGCAGAGTCGTGCGTAAAGTGAACACAGAAGCAGGAAAGAATAACCATACAGAATGAACATGACTAAAGGAAACCCTAACATCGTTTATGAACTGTTGATCAGACGAGAAAAAAGTCATTCTTTCGCCACTAGATATAAATCTTCGGCTAATAAAACAGGCTTTTAAAGCTTTAGATAGGAATGGCGATTGCTTCAAATATGTTTGTAATTTATTTCCTGGTCTCAGTGTAGAAAAGTTAAAAGGAGGAACTTTTGATGGACCGCAAATCCGTACTCTTATAAACAACGATAATTTCACACCACATAACTTAAGTAGAATTGGAAGAATGGACAAGCTTTGTATCAGTTGTCAAAAATTTTTTTGGAGAATCATAAAACTGAAGAATATTCCGAAGTAGTAGACAAAATGCTCCAGAATTTCTAAAAATTAGGAGCTAAAACGAGTATCAAATAGCATCATTTGCGGTGATTATAGCAAAGGACAACAGGAACAATTCCACCAGGACATCAAAGTTATGGAGGAAAGATATCAAGGCCGTTGGGATCGCCATATTATGGCAAACTACTGCTGGAGTTGTAAGCAGACTGTCCGAACTAAAAACACCATAGGAAATCCCATACAAAACGTTTTTCTTAACTCTTATTGACATGTTTTTGCTCTATGTTATAAATGGGTTAATAATAAATCTATTGATTTACTTTGAAATCATTAAACGTCATTGTCTAAATATACATATAAGATCGTCTCTATTTCATCTAATTAAACATATTCAAAAATTAAAAGTGTTAAAACTCGTTTATTACTTCACTTATTACTCATTTCTCTCGCTTATTATAACATAAAGGTAATAAAAAGTTTTTATCGAAGAACAATTTATAAGATCGCCGATACAGCTTGTGATGTTTTAAAATAAACCGCTATAAGCGACAGCTTTTAAGTTAATTATTTTCTCGCTCGCCCCCGGGTTATAACCAGCTAATGACCTTCATTGTAGTACTTCGGAACAGGATAATTAGAGGGGATCTTCAAAGGATTTAATTAAAGAAAAAGTGGTATTTGAGTGTTCCCAACGATGAAGAATAAAACTCTCCTTTATAACTATATCGTTTGAAATTACAACAAGAAATTGTTGGTGGTAAAATTAATTATTGTAATTGATTGTTGTTGACATTTTAGAGTATCAAGTACCATTTTGGTGTGTTTGTGTATAGAGGTTTATATTGGAATTTCTGTGGATTTCACCGAACCAGTGGCGTGTCCAGTAAAGGCCTAATGATGGGCTGGAACGTTGAACACAGTCAAGAAGATGTAACACACAGGCAATTTGCCGGGGATATCGCGGCCTAATTTCCGGCCACGTTTAGTCTCGAACAAGAACGCTCAACACTCCGTCAACGTCTAAAGTTGAAAGCCCACCTACAGCAAACACTTCCCATTCAACACGCAAACCCTTTTTAATGCGAACAATTTCACTTTATCTGTTTATTTATTTTTAATTTTTTTTTGGAAAGTTTTGTCTCTCCCTCGTTCAATGATAAGTATCCAATTTTCCTGGCGATATAATCAGGCGGATGAAATTTGCATCCAAATTAGGGAAGCAGCGATTTTTACCGCGCTGAGAATCCTGATTTCCCAAGGGAAACGTAGTCATCCGCGTTAAGAACCGGAGTGTTACGTTGGGACAAGCGACCATTTGTGAACGTCAATCAATCTAGTAATTGTATTGTACCGAGCTCGGTGTCCTCTAACATACCGAGATATTCAACTCAAGCATTTAATCGACCGAATTATATCCACAGAGAGATATGTAGATCGATTTACACCAAATTTCAACAGGTATAATATGATTATCCATTTGATCAAAATAATTAGTTACATGAATTAGTAGTTTCGACAAATTGGTACAATATTAAAAATTTAATTTTAACGGAATAAAAAATTAAACTTAAATCAATAACGCTTGAGTTATAACACAACATGCAATTTTAAAATAAAACCTTTGTTCTAGACATATGGGTAATTGAGTTTTTATAGAAATCAATTTGAAAAGTTGTATCAAATTATATGTATAGAGAGGAGAACGACGTCAAAACCTGTTGCTCATTGTATTATGAAATCTGATGTTTTGTTTTTGTTTAGATACCAACTAGTAATATATGGAACAAAGGTTATGGACATCCATGTGTATTTATTAATACTTGTTAGTGAATAAAATGTTTTTTGATCTATTCGTATTTGAAACGATTTTGTATGAAAATTAAGCTTAATTTGAAAAAAGCATTCCTACTCAATTTGCTTCGTATTCAATTTTGCGCAATAAAACCTTGCACATAGCGTCGCTATATTAGGAAAATATTAAATCAGCCGACTCCAATATCGTCGGGTTGGGGGTGAGAGAAAGGGAACAGAGAGAGAGAAGAAGGAAAATCCGAGAGCAGCGTAATAAATGTACACGTATTTCTCTGGGAATCTTATAACGAGCTTTTCCCGGGATATTTTTCCAATTGTGCTCAAGCCGACAAAA